GAGGAGGAGGGACTCCTCTTCACTTTTCCTCTCAAAGGCTCTAGATCTAGACTAGAATAAAATCTGCAATTCGATTCTTCTATATCTGAATTCCCCCATAACGTTCACATTTCATAGAAGATCACGGGGACCGTTCGAGAAGTACTAGCTGCGGTGGAGACATTCGGCCACCACAGAGACTGCTCTACGGGTAGCCCGTACGTTCACGCTAAGGTCATTGATACAACTCCATTTGGCTGATCTACCGGGATTTATTGAAACGAGGGTGTTTTGAGGCATCTTCGAAGCCGGTTATCCATCTGCCTTTACTTCTATAGAATTTCACCGTGGGGATCAACACTCGTGCCACCGCCCATCCCTATATACATATAGCTATGGTAAGAAGGGATCGCAAGCTATTCTACCCGACTAGAGTGCCCGGCGGTCTATCACAGCATCCGAAGTAATCAGAGGATAAGATAACATAGTTCATATTGTATTACTCGCGTGCCTAATGATGAGTGTTAGTCATTTGAGATCCCCGGAGGTGATGTTGATGGGGAAGCGAGATGTTGGTCGTGTAGAGATGAACTTCTTTCGTTTAGAGATGATCTCTATCATTCTTTTCAGTCTAAAATAGTATGCGCGAGTCAGGTCAGCCCAAGTTCAAATTTTGAGACGTAATCTTCGAATCTGGGTCTCCAGTACTGTTCGTCTAGAAACCCACGCAATTGATTTATTTAGACCATAAGGCCTTCCCGAGTTCTTGTGCCTCAATGGTACTCTCCAACCGGGGAAGGGGGTGCCTCAAAATTAGAAAAGACCAACTACGATGCATGCACCGCTCTACATATACAGTCAGATGGGCCTAAATGGGTAGGAAGCTTGCCAAGTCTCGAGACTTTCAAAAATTTCGAGCTGGAAATAACCTACAGCGGAAGGCTCCGAGCAATGAAGAAAAGGAAGACGGAGTCATTCGTTCAAGATACACTCTAGCCCGTAGTTTCCCCCGGGTTTCCTGTTGCGCATGCCCCTATGCATTCATATACCTAGCTTCCCTCTCGCTCACTGGCTCTCCATTCATTACTCCAGCCGGGCGTAGTCATTTAATGCATATGCGACGCACATCATATCAGCCATCCTGCTATGGTCGGTTGTGAATTACTTCTGTCTCCAATAGTATATATATATATGCATGAACTAGATGAAAGGCATCGCAGCACGTAAGCGCGTACGCCATTCTACCAATCCCATGATATATCATCAACATTCAAACCTTTTAGTTCAAGTGCGCAGCCCGTGTGTTTGCCCCAATTCATGTGCGGTGGGACAGATTTGGGTATGGCGGTGCGGTGAATCAAAATGCATTATTCTGCCTATACGATTATTGTTATAGAAATCCGGGCAAGCTTCAAGGCCGAACTTACGGGGAACAAGGCCAATAACCACACACACACAGCCAAGGCTAGTCCCCGAAGTTATCTTACTAAAAGAGAAATCCTTGGCAAATATACCAGAAACATGGATAAACAACTACCACAGTCTTTAGCAATGCCGTACCGCTGCCGTGGCGCCACCGTATACTTCGTTATCATATTTACTCCCATTTCTGATACTGTATGTACCTCTTAATTAATGTGACCTCCGCTGGTAGTAATGGGCTCGGCGAACGTACATTGTAGAGGAAGATAAAACGAACCCCACCGATATTTGGTCTAATACAGACTTCCTATTGTGAGATAGATAGAGGTGATCCCGCCGATTGAGTTGTGTTAGGTGTGTTTAATTTACCCGACAGAAAGATGATAGGAGAGCTGAGTATGGTTCCCCAAGAAAACCAAAGTTTTCATTCAATTCAACCAGTAAGGAGGGTTCTCTAATTGTACATACAAGGATCGACGTCGGCGATGAGTTCGTGTGTAAACTAGTGCTATTTAACATGCATGATCGAACGGACGTCAACAGCTGAAACTCCCGCTGTATTCGCCCATATCTAGTGATGCACACGAGATAAAGAGTCTCGAGACTATTCTTTTAAGATGATATTACGAGGGAAGACGAGGTCTCTACTAGGGGGTGAAACTATTAGTCTCGAAGCTAGTCAAGGTAGTCTCGAGAAGTCCCAAAACATCATAAAATGTTGCAAAAATGGAAGATGAGGTTGATCTGATGCATTCATACGTGTATCAATTCAAGAATATTGAATGAAATTAATGAATTAAAGAAGAAGAAAATTCAAGAGGATTCAACGCTGATTCTGCTTTCGTACATGTATGTACTTCGGGTGCAATGATAAGTGAGAAGACACCTTCGCACAGCCTCTGTAAGCAGGTGTCTTCTCACTTATCATTGCACCCGAAGTACAAGGCCTGTAAATGCTCGAGCTGCGGTCTCGATACTTTGGGTGATACCGATCCTGGATCTAGATCCTTAACCACTGGGCCCGCCCTTAATTCTCAGAACAAGACGAGCTCGAAATCAGTGGAGTCTCATCTTGTTTGTGTTATATGTATCACTACGTACCGTACCCATATCGGTGTTTAGCAATACCTCGCATTTGGTTATGGTACCATATAGATTCAAATGCGCATGAAGAATCAGCAGAACCTCCTATTATGGTGCCAACTGAGAAATTGGGTGCAGCGCCTGACGTTTGACCGCGCATGCCAGTCGCCAACAATGCTTAAACTGGTCAACTGAGCTGCATTGAAATTCGCTGAATAGACTCTAGTGTTTGTTTGATCTCGTTTCAGATATGCGATTTGCCATCCAGAGTGAGTCAGTCTCCCCAGATCGATATTGGAAGGTCTATTTAACCTGCCAAGAGGTGCCCTAGGGGCCTGGGTCGGGAAAGCTTATATAAATATCGGGATCGAGAGCTAGCTGGTGTGATTAAATGATTAACAAGGTTGAATGTGATAGGTTATACAGAATATTAATCTGATACTAACTTTAAAATTTATATACTAGCAAGCTTAAGTATGTATTTACCATCGACATATATCCCCCAGTTCCCGAACATATATGATAGTAGAGTGCATGAGCTGGCTCATTTGAGGATTTAAATACTCGAAGCTCTTAGAAAAATTCCTCTCCAGCCAATTCGCGGTGCATATAAGATCACAGTAAGATACCACATGCTGGGGTATAATTAATGAATTAAACAAACAAAAGAACAAATATGCTAGGTGTGTTCTGTTTCAGGGCTAGGGTCTTAATATAATCATTCTCCATATGTGTATGTTAGTTAAAAGGTTGGAAGTCGTTGAAACCAGATCCCTACACGAAATTCCGGCCTTAGTTAACGCACGGGTATGTATATCTGGTCTAGATAAGACGAGCAGAAAACAATTAACACCAGTTATGGTGGTGATGGAGCGAAATTTGCTTGTCGGTCAGTGCCGCCCTCTCTCGTTCCCAGGCTTCCTATGATTCTGATTGGTCAATAATCGGGTGTGTAAAGTCGCGAAAAACCTTGGCGCCAAGAATATTTGTCTGGGCACGAGACCCATGTATGTAGACTAGACCGTAGCACTACGGTAGTAGGGGTAAGTCTGTATCCCTTGGACGGATGAAACTTGCACGCACTTAATAAGGCAATTGTCTTTCTTTTTGCAGGTGATAACAATAATTGAGCCAATCAAAAACCAGATATAGTTACCATGTAAGGCTAGTGATAGCTGAAAGAGTGAAGTTGCGAATTTGGAGGTTTCATCCGTCCAAGGGATACAGTGGACTACTAGTGTTGCCACCACGAAAAGAACTAGAAAATGCAAGGGGATAATTTGTATGAGAGATCACCGCCACTCCATACAAATAATCCTTGCCCTAAGCAACTGGTTCTTTTTGCACTTCATGTGCGCGGGTGCGCGCATTGCCAGCTTCATATTGAGCTGTCGTATTTACTCGCAGCGCCGAGACCTGCGCCGAGACCTGTAAGAGTGAAAAATGGACCACTAGAAAGCTCAAGCTGATGGAGATCATTTCTGATTTTGCATGCGAGTCTGAATTATGGACGAAAAATGGCCGAGGATTAAAAGTCTTTCGATGCCATGACTTAATTAAGCGGGATACAAATAAGATGATATAATATTCATTGACCGCAAGGATACGCATAGAGAATATTAATACCTATATAGAATTTCACTCTTAAAGGACATCTTATTTATTATTTCTTCGTGGATCTGATATGGTTGCCCATAGCCAGCTCTAAATCTAGTCGCCGTATACGCATAAGACAAAGCTACTGATTCTAAGCCTTAAGTATGCTTGGGTTGTCCAAGGCGCGCGCCGATCCCCTTTATAGGTCTTTCTTTCTTTTCTTTTTTTCTTTTTCTTTTTCTTTTCATTTTTCATCATTGCAGAATTGAACCCCTACTGACTTTATGCTCGCATATTTCGACGATCACTAGCTTTGCAAACATTGCGCATGCTTCGCGACCTAGCAGGCCGGCTTGGACTAATGAACATAGACAATTGGGCGCCAGAAACAAGGCTGGCCTTTGATCGCTATGCTAATATGCTAATTGGATACATGGCAAAAAACTAGAGATAATCTCCCTCCCTCTCAAATACTTGACCACACACAGCTTACTTTGATTAACACAGCTACCTACTTAAGGTAAAGCGAGTAATTAGCCTTGAGTCGTTTCTAGCTTATAAAGGCTTTAGTGAGCTGGCAACTAACCTGAATCCCATTCTGGCTGGAGCTGAAGATGCTTGCACTTGTATATGAGGCGCCTAGGACTAGAAGCACTTGATCCCCAAAAAGGGTGAGAACCCCAATACTAAATCTCATTTAATCAAAACCTGGGCTAAGTCTTGGATCGTATGAGTACCTTTTTATCCTCATCGCTAACTGAGTGGGTTTCAGTTTCCGTCACGAGACATGTGCACGCAGGTCTCAATATTTATTCTACTAATTCTAATTATTCTCTCTACACCATCTTTTGTTACCTGATCTAGCGAGTAGTACAGGAGCTCTTATGCATCCTTGCTGGCATGATCATGGGCAGCTTCCTATGGGTATGCGCTCGATTGGGCTGCATCCACCACCAACAGTAAGACAGCTAGCTCCAATTGAACCCCTCCCCCCTCCCCCCTCCCCCCTCCCCCTGGTACAGCCCCGTAGTATCACGTTATAACTGATTGGTCACTATATATGCTCCATGGGAACTTGTTCATTCAGTTTTTTATATGTAGGGCGCGTGCTTTCCTTGTATCGTATAATTCTTCGAGCATACGAAACAATCCCGCCAAAGAAACCCCCTCCTCTCCAGAATATTTCAAAGTATTTCTCCGTAACTGATCTATTAACCACAGCTCTTCTTTTTCTTTTCCACATTCCCGAGTATCGCCACAGGTACTTCCTACGGGTTTTGGACCCTGAGCCGCATGCCCGCTGACGACGTCACTCTCCCTTTAATCGAGAAATTTGAACCCAAAATGAGTGACCGCCAGTACTGGCGTCCCTGGACTCTCCGCAAATCTTTACTGATCTCCTTCATTGGGCTTTGCGCCGGGCTACTTGTTGCCAACGAGCTCGCCAACTTTGGCTGCAAACGACATGGTAGCTGCCATGTCTTTGGCTCCAGGGAAAACGGGCATATGCCCAAGCTCTCCACATTTGTGTACAGGACACTCCCGGCTATACTTGGTATCGCTTTGGGTCTTCGGTGGTATGCGACACATTATGATATCATCCGGCTCGAGGCATACTCCCAAATGAGCTCAAAGTACGGTGCGAAAGCCTCGTGCTCACTCTTCCTGCAATATCCGTATGAGTTTGTCTTTGCTCTGCCTTTCAAGGCCTTGTTGAGGGAGTAAGTTATCAATATTTCCACTAGCTAGGGGATTCCTAAGTATGTACTGACCGAGTTTATGACAGACACTACGTTGTGGCCCTATCGTCGTCAATCCTCTTCATAGTGAGCTACGGGCTCGTGCCACTGGTCTCGAATATGTTTGATGATACCGTTGGCAGCACCTCCATCTTCGCAAACGCCAGCCGGGTCGAGTTCAACACAACGGCCCGGCAGGTACCTGCAAATTTCACCTTCTCAGCCTACGACTTCGCATGGAGAAGCGGCGAGCTTCCCCCATTCACGACCGAAGACTTCTCGCTACTTCCCGTAAAGCCACTGGACGAGTTCCCGGTGTTCCACCTAGGAGAGGACTGGGCCTTCTTGACGACGCTGTACGAGGCCGATCTTGAATGCACCGAGGCACACCATATTAATTACACCTATAGCTACTGGCCAGACAACAAGCACCTGGTCGTGGAAATCTTCCAGAACGAAAGCAGGAGTTCAATTGTGAGGGCGTGCGATGCCCTCGGCCAGGAGAGGACCGATGAATACAGTCTTCTCGGTACCAATGAGTGCACGGAACTTGCATCCTTCGTCGCGCCGTGGGCGGGCCTTTTCGGGCCTATAGCGGAGGGGTCGACGACATTCATGTTTAGCTGGGCCTCTGGTTCACCAGCTGGTTATCCAGGTGTCAGCGCCAACGTCAGCTCCCCAGCTCCACTTGATATGACGGCCATCTTCTGCACGACGAAATACTACGCTCATACTGTCAATGCCACCGTCTCAATGCCCTCGGGGAGGGTGCATCCAGACAATGTACATCGTATCGGCGAACGGGAGGAGATTGAACCTCTTAAGGGCTTCACCGAACTCATCGCCGGAGTAACCCGACCCGACCCGAACTTGTGGTTGGAGGACGTCTTCGTGGCCAATAGGAGTGTGCTCGGGATTACTCCCCTCCGTTTCGGGTACCAGCCTGACAAGGTCGTGGATCTCAAGTATGACCTTGTGGAGAAGTTCGGGGAAGCCGCTATACCGGTGAATCCGAAACGTATTGTCACCACTAGCGAGAGTAATATCTACATGTCGATGACGAACACGTTGGTGGCGTTCTCGCTGGGTGACAGGCAGAACGACACGGCGGCGCTAGGGAAATTGCTGGATCCAAAGGAGCTGGGGAGCTCGCTCAGGAAGGCGCTGAAACTGTGGTTTGCGTTTGCAATGGCCGGGGAGACGGCAAGAAGCAATGAGAGGAGCACTACTATCCCGGTGGAGCGAAAGATCCCACAGGTCGTGATCACGGTCAACCGAGATTGGTCGCTGGCAGCGAGGATAGGACTTCCGTTGGTCGCCGTGCTGGCCGCGCTTCTCACCTATCTCTTGGAGGGGCGCCCGTGCCATATAGAAGGGGAGCCAAGCTCTATGGCCGCAGCCCTGAAGCTACTATCCGCCAGCCCGACACTCTGTGCGGTGATGCAGCACTCCGAATATCACCCGATGAAGACGCTGATGGAGGAACTGGACAGGAGGGGATTCTATTTCAGGTTGGGCCCGAACAAGGAGGGTGCCCTTCAGATACGGGTGTTCCGTGGAGAGGGAGAGCGCGCGGAGGAGGTCCTGGAAGGGTCTGAAGATTTGAATGTTTTGAAAGCTCCTCTGGCCGATGCTCAGGTGCAGAAAGACTTTGAATGGGTATCACCAGATCTGATTGCGACGGCCAATCTTGCTCTCTTCCCCATCTTTATCCTGGCATTGATCGCCACCACGGCATTGGCCAAGAAACGCAATGGTACGTATATATAGTGACACTCGAAATTCCTTGAATGGCCGTGCATGTATCGTTCTTCTTATCCTGCTCGGGCCCGGCTAACAGTGAGTGCACCCCACAGGATTCCCGATGCCCGACGACCCAAGCTCGTTCTGGTCAAAGGTTTGCTTCGGCACTGTTCCCATGATTTTTGGGATCACGGCCGAGGCGCTCCTCGTCATTCTCGGAGCCACTCAGTGCATGATGGTCCCGTACCAGGCCCTCGTGACAAAGAAGGCAAAGTACATCGACGCTCTCGACTCCAAGTACAAGAGTAACCCTCCGCACCTTCAGCTGCTCCAATCGTTCAAGCGCGGCCAGTACACTCTTTTAATCCTATCCTTGACCATCCTGATCTCGAACGCCCTCCCCATGGCTATGAGCAGTATCTTCTCCCATACCCCCAACCAGCCGAGGATTGAAAAGCTACACGACCCCTTGGTGGACATTCCCCGTGCCCGACAGGAGATGTTTTTCCAGCTAAACAAGAAGATGGCCAATCCTGACTACACCCCCTCGTGGACCACGGAGGAATACTACATCGACTCCCCCTTCATCATCGCCCCGATTGGCGAGAACAAAACCTACGCAACGCGTGCTTTCGGGATAGACGTCAACTGCACCGTGGTCCCGGAAAACAGGGTCACCTTCCCGTGCAGCACGAGTGCGCGGTCCACGAACGCCAGTATTCCGTCCGACTGCGAGCCGTACCAGCGCACCGACAACGTGATGTTCCTCAACAGCCCGTGTGGTGGCCTTGAGCTTCCCATAGTCACCACTTGGAACGGGACCTCCGGAGACCACGCCAAGGTTGACGAAAGGTGCCCGGGTCTTATCTTTCCCATGTGGCTCCAGAACCAGAGGTATACTGTGGATAAGCCCCATAGGATAGCAAGGGCGCCAGGGTACAACAGGACTCTGTTCCAGTTCGGGAAAGAGGACAAGTACGACTTCATGGTGCTGAACTGCTCCGTCGCCGACCGCATCGCAAATGTGGACGCCACCGTTCATGACGGCAAGGTCATCTCCGTGAAAAATGAGGTTTTCGAGTCGTTCAACAAGACCACAACCCACTCTCTCGCTCACAATTTCATCAACGTTACGGCACGCCTTGCCAGGCAATATGGGGTTTATGGAACCCACGCAATCCAAGATATCAACCCACTAGTAGCTCAAGTCAACCCAAACGTAGTGCGAGGCAACGAAACCCATGTTCCATCCAGTGCTGTGGTGACGAAGCCCTTCGCGGACGTCCTGAAGCAGCTGTTTCCGCTGCTCCTGAGGCTGTATGCGGAGGAGTTGTTTGGCGTCGAGTATATCACAGAATATATCAACTACAGGGCGCACATTAACATCATACCCTTTGGCGTGGCGATGGGAGTGCTGGTGTTGGTCTTGGGTGTGGTTGTGAATGTGTTTACAAAGCATGCAGGGAGGGTGATGGGACATCTGCCATGGAGCCTGGCGGGGATGTATTCCCAGCTCTATGCGAGCAATGCGAAGAGCGATACGAACAGGGCTGGGAAGGGACTTGAAACAGTGGAAGAAGTGGAACTATCGGCGGAGTATGCATATGGGGAGTATCCGAATAAATTGGGGAAGCATTATGGGGTGTATAGGGTTGTGGACGAGGATCTGCACCCACCCGCGGTGGAACTGGTTACTTAGATTTCGATGCTGGATGGCGAATTGTGCTCTGGACTGGTGTTCTTTCATATCCTCTGTACATATATATCTTGTCTTTTTTTTAATCAAATTCACGGCGGCCTGCGCATGCGCCGACCAATCCGCAATGGTTTGAGTTGAGAAACACCGGTGTCCACCTTACAAAAGCTGTGGCGGGGGCACTGCCAGATTAACTGAGGATCGGGGGGGTCCTTTACATACCGTCAGCATCCCGCCAAATCTTCTAATCAATCATATTGCCAGCTCTGAGCTGTGATTTGTGCAAATACTGGGCGGTTTTATCTAGTCGACTGAGAAGGCAAACTTACCACAGTTGGATCAAGGAGCCTCAATTGTATTAAACTCGCGCTGCTAAAAGCCTCTCATCATGGAGAAATGAATACACAATTGCCAAAATGCGGGTGACGGGATCGCAGAGCGATTGGACCTGCTCATATTAGAAATATATAGAGCAAACTGGATTTCTGTTAGAGGGTAGGAGGTTTTAGGAGGCAAATAGTAAGACTCGGTACTGTGGGGCTGGATTCTTTTTTTAAAAAAAAAAGGCCCAAAAGATCATTGAAGAGGAAGGGCTTAGAGGATTGGGCAGAAACACAACAAGGAATAACTAGGGGCCGATGCACACTGCTGGCTAGATGAGATCGTGAAGTTTACGAGGATGGTGTAATATATAGCCACCCGCCACATATTTTTGTTTAGAGGAGTTATCGGCCATTCGTGCCTCAGTTAAGATATCTTCCATAACGAACGGTTCCAGATAACTATAACCGAAAAGATACAGAGCAAAGCTCAGTTATGTACTTGTACACACTGCGAAATCTTTAGAACAACCAGACCTACCTGTAAAAACACAAAATACTTCCTTTAAAGTTTGTTGATAAAGCCATATTTAATTCGAAGCTCAAGCCTATTATAGACTCTGGGCACTATTCATACATTTTGTATTGTGACTTTTAGGTTGAGTTATCGGTATTTTTTTTTTAAATGGCTAAATCTCCTTTTGTTATTTTCCATAACATCTCACTAGCCATAGTAAAGCGCCAAGGTATTTTTTGTTATCGTTATGGAAAACCCGTAGCTAAATCTCCCTACTCGGACACAGATTGTAGTACTCTCATCCGCTAGGAAACGAATCAAAAATGCACCCTTCTTCCCACGTAATCCCTACCACGGGAAACGTGTGTGGAAAGTGACCATATGGACCGCAGGCCAATTGCAAGTCCCGAAGAAATGAATCCAATTTACATGTAGAAAGGAACGTTCTTAACCAATTTCTTGACATATTTAAAATCCCTAAGTTCCCGTCAAGGCAGTAGCCATATGCGCGGTGTGCGCAATTGTTAGTGTAAAAAAACCGAATTCGCGAAAGATAGAGGAGTTTAACCTACTATTCTGGTTGCTTGTCCTTGTCCTTGCCCGAGTCCTCGTCCCGTCCCCAGTCCCGTCCTCGTTAGATGGAGGGTACTTTAGGTGGAGAGAATGCTCCTTTAGTTCTCTCGAACGGAGAAAGCTGGAGTACGATCTCTAGCATCATCTACATACATCACGTCTTATACACTGTCTTATGGACTTTCCGGTACTGGAAAAACCAGGCTATGGCTCATGAAGGTGCAAGGATTTGGGTCATGGAGGACAACGCATCTGCTCACAAGGCAAGATTAACTGAAGCCCGATGCGATTATTATAACATGCCTTCTCTTTCCTGCCCTGCCTGTTCCCCTGAGCTCAATCTCATCGGAAACGTATGGAATCTTTTGAAAAGCAGGATTAATATGAGAACTCCTCGTGGCTGAAATGGGAACTGCCATAGATGAGTGGGGCAGTATCACAGAGGATGAACTTTTAGAGTATATATTGATACAATGCCAGAAAGGATCACTGCTGTAATAGAGGTAGGGGTGTCATACTCAGTAAATAGTTTCCTTCGCGAGACCTATTTCCCCCAGATTTTGACATCTGTCCGTTTCCTCGAGACCTTTTTCTACGGGTTTTGGTATCTCTCCGCTTCCTCTACCAATGGAACGCCCGGCCCTGTACCCTTGTATGTGACCGCATAACTATTGCATTGTCCGGTACTCTTTTCCTGCCCCGAGTAGTTATTGGATGGAAAATACGCCCCGCAGACCGCTAAAAGGTTGAGGGGGGGTTCATCCGAGAAGCAGCTCATTTATCTCGGTGGTCCTTGACAACGACAATGCCAGCTACTGAGCCGTCTACAGGTAGAGTAGGCACATACGGCTGATGTTAATAACTAGGCTGAACGGAGGGTGACAGCCCATCATGGAATCGCTGACAGCGTGCACCTGCATGATTGCTTTTCAAGTAGGTATTACCTATATTTGGATACTTGCAACAAGCAGAGTAGAGTAGAGTAGGTAGAGTAGTGAGGCAGGTCCTCGAGCAAATGCAGGCAGTATTACACTTGCGCCAGCCTCAGCCGCGGGGGGGGGAAGCAGCCCATCGCAGTCCAATTTTGGAACCAAGCCAGATAAAACACGACCCAAATGACAGAAAAGGGCTCTGCGCATACATTCACATCGGGCATTGCAGTAAGCTGACCATGAACCGCACTCGATCCAAGCCCAAGAGTCTCCTGCATGGGGCCAATAACACCCTCCCCGTAGACTGTACCTACATGCTGTGCCATTGGACCGGGCCAGCGCTGCAAGATATTCTCGTCTCTTGGAACTGCTAGACTAGGTACGTCTCCTACTACAGTACTGCTAGGCACTCTGAGTACTCTACATGATATTCCCACATCTTGGATGAGGTGGCATCCGACCATGTACATATATAAAGTCGGCCCCCAGCAGCTCGTTCTATCCTGCCCCAGCATCGACAGCAATTCCCTCGGATCACTACTATCCCCCCCCCACACTCATCCAACAATGAGTGCAAACCTTCGATATCTCCTAGTCTTCTTTTGCGTCCTCCTCACGGTTGGCGCTGATACCTTCCCCGCCTACAATGTCAAACCACGCGAGGCAACCCCCGATGGCTGCCTCGAGTTAGCCGGGGCCCTCTTCGGACCCGACGACTACAAGATCACCATGCACAACGGACGCTACATTGCGCTCGCCTGCGACGGCCGCAAGCGCGTCGAGTGCGACACCATCTCTGGCGGAGTCTTTGGAACGGACAATTGCGATTCCCCCGACCCGGCCGATGGCGCCCCAAACGATATCCCGACTGAAGAGGAAGCCATCAAGATGGGGATGGAGCTGCTCACGAGCCTCCACATGCTGCCTGAAGAGGAGGGCGGCGTTGTCATTGAGCCCGCAAGCACCAGCAACACGTTCCTGGCCCACGAGTATGAGTTTGGCGAAGGGAACTACGTTCGCGATGACTGGAAAATTGATATAACGGTGAATTTAAAAGTCAGCATCGTAGTTGGGGACAATACATTCATGCTCACAGGCGGTGGGGGGAAGTTCCTGGTCACGTACGGCAGCTGCGGGAAGCCGATCGTGTTCCAGGCGCTCTGGCGGGAAATCTGCGGGGAGAAGATGGAAGAAATCCCTTCCCGGGAGCAGGCGATATCAGAATATATAGCAAGTCTGGGCCCGCTCGGCCCTAACGCGACTGTCGAGGCCAAGCTGGGCTACCAGTCCGAACCGTTCGGGGTATGTCAGGAGGTCATGCATCCAGTGTGGATACTTGAGGGAGAGGTTGTCGCGAACGGCCAAAAAGTCCCAGTCCGGCCCCAGAACTCTCGCTATGCGGCTTCAGATAACCAGATAACCCGCAGAGATTCGGGCACCGGATCCCTACCGAGGGAGGCCCACTGGCCAGCCCCCCGATCCAACGACGACGACGATAACTGTAAACTCGAGGTGGGGATGGAATATCTTGGTGAGCCATACGGCCTGGGGCTCGCGAGCGAGAACGCGGCCGGTTTCCGGTCCGGGGTCATGCACACCGCGCCCATCGGCAACGTCACATACGAGAAGAGCAATGCGCTTGTCTGGGGCTCCGATTGGACGACAGATAACAAAACATACGTGGAGTCAGCCGACCTGGTGTGGTACACCGGCCATGCAAACAGCAACGGCTGGATGGTCACTGTGCCAGACACAGGAGCACCAACAATGGCCCGCTACACATCCTTCAATCAGTCGGGCAACGGGCTCGGAGAGCAGGACCTCGAGTGGCTCATCATCGCTGCCTGCGGACCGCACCAGGACGAGGCGTTCGAAAATGGCGCGGGGAGCGTGTTTGATAGGTGGAGGGGGATCTTTCATGGGCTACACATCATGTTTGCGTACGGCAGCGCGTCGTCCGATTCGGCGGAGGAGGGAGCCAAGTTCATGAGGTACGCACAGGAGGGCAACAGCCTGATCGATGCGTGGTTCCGGGCCGCGAAGGAAGTGCAACCCCCGGGGGTCGTCGTGACGGCGATGTGGGCGGACGGTGCCAGGGATGACCATCTTCCGGGCTACGGGTCTGTCTCCGAGGACAGCTCCTCGGCGCCGCAGGAAATGTGGTTCATGTGGACGACTACTTAGTTGGGGGCGTGTCTGTGCAGTAGCTCATAGAACGTCTTTCTTTATTTTCTTTTTAGTTTGTCTATCGATATGTCTGAAATATACTACATCTTTTTCTACATTATGATTCTCGTGAACTGGCATGCACAGTACATGAAGTGAGCCACAATCATTCCGCGGCCAAATTCTTCTCCGATTAAACATACTGAGCAGCTGTGTAGCTTGTGGGTGGGTGAAATAAAGTTGCGTGTAAATACGAAGTTGTACTCTGAACATAGACAACTTTAGACGTGCGCAATGTCACTGACAGGTCTATAAGTAGGGATTTAGCAATTTGGAAGGAAATCTCATGCACGTTGAAACCAATAAGAATTACTGCAAGGATTTGATCTGTCCAAATACTTCCAGATTGCCCTCTTATCTGGCCACCGCAAACGTAGCCTGCTCCTTTCTTGAGGTTTGAGCACTACACGTATGTAAATGAAGTATTCAGGACACTGTAGCTGGTGCATGCAGGATGCGTAGAATATGTAATTATCTATCATATCACTTTTTAAATTCCGTGCCTAAGAATACGTAGTGGAAACATAGAATGAGAATTGATACCAATAATTACCCCTCGGAGTATTCCTCATACCTAGTGTGGTTGACGAGACGAGTTAACTGGAGTCCTCGACGACTCGAGCCCAAGGCTCGAGCAGCCACGAGCAGCTACCCCCACGAGTCGAGTTAGCTCGAGCGTTTTCCGCTGCTCGACTTGAAAACCTTAAGCTTTTTGGGTGTTATCTCCCACTGAAAACCATGCCAGATATGCCCAAATTATGAAATCTTGAATAACTCAATCCTAACCCTAATAATATACATTTGCACAAGGAGAGCTAAAATGATTCCTGGAGCTCCTATCTAGGGCCACTGAAAAGCCCGAGCTCAGCTCGAGCTACTCGAGCTTTTACAAGCCGAGTCAAGCCTTTCCTCCTGCGGGCCGGCTCGTCGACCATACTACTCATACCATGCACGCTAAGTCCACGAATGCATGCAGGGCGGTCTTCGGTTTAGCAAAAAATAGAGACTCTACCGATTAAGGTTTGAACAGTTCATTGACTAAGATTTCACGCGTCCACTAGTTAAGGTCTCAAGGGTTGACAGTAGAGTAGGTAAGAAGAAATGTGCCACTAGGTAGAGTAGAGTAGGTAAGTGGAGACGGCACAAAGCTCGATTCGTGCGCACATAGGTACGCACGCCATTCCCCAAAGCAGTGCACTGGCAGCTGCGGTGAGACATAGCCAATAACGGGGGAAAAGAAAAATCTCTATTGCAACCTGCGCACACTGACCAATTTCAAGAGCGCACAGATTCAGCACCCCCTCCCCCCCGCCCAGGTCCATCTCCAGGCAAGAATTTTCTCTTCCAGCGATTGGCCAAAGGCCACTGATCACCCTCAGACATCCCCATTATTGATAATTTAATTTTAATCTTCGACATTTTTGGGCGGTACTCTAGAGTACATGGCTCACAGGTGCAGCTTCATAATTGGGAGAATTAATATCCCTCATGCTGGGGACGTCTACTGCCTCGAATTGTGCACTTATTGACAGGTGTGGAGGCAGATACCAACACGCGTATTAGTTTGGGATACATTCCTTTTACGTGAAGGAATAGAGGCGATAGTAGGTTATCTAGTCTAAACATAGTCTAGTAAAGCTTGGCGCGTTGTCGCCAGAAGGCTTCTAGTTAATAGTGGGTGTGTCAACTTCAGAGGAACTTTTTTTGTAGAAAATTCACCATTAGGTTATAGATTGATTCGCTGCAAACGCCGAAGTTTACACACCACCCACCATGGCTTCTCGAGCCATATATATGTGATTAATTGTGATCTGAAAAAGTATCCCTTGCAGGCTGGATCGGGCAGTGAAGCTTTTTCGATCCGTTTGTTGGTAAAGAGTACCTACACGAGATCGAGTGAGTGTCGCTTTGCAATTTCTCGGTACATGCATGCACAACATAGGTACTCTACATGTAGGTACTCGTATTTCCCTGACGTTTGTAGACGTGACTGATATTGCATGCCATACAAAAATACGCCAAGCTCATGATTTTGGGTGTATGCAATAATGGCCCAGTTCAAAAACGTCAGAGAAATACTAGTAGAGTACGTACTCTACACCACTCTAGAGTATGTTACTCGCGGCAGGCAAAAGTACCGGACAATGCAAGTTTTGTCTCTGGGCTTTTTTTGCAGTAGTTCACGCCTAGCACACGCACCCATTGGTGAACCAAAAACCTGCATTGTCCGGTACTTTTTGCCTGCCGCGAGTACAGTGGTATCTAGAGTAAAGTACCTACATCGCGATCGCCCGAGGCTGCTAGTACGTAAATAGTTTGGGGGGAAGTAAGGGGCAATTCCATCGATCACCCATGTTCCCATAGGGCCAGTATTTAATTTACTCTAGACCAAATACTCAAAGACTAGGTATGTATATACAAATCTACCCTATTAGTTATCTTATAGCCATCTTTGCATTACAAACTTTGCATCTTACATGCAGTACTCTAGGTAGAGTAGACGCCTCTCCAGCCGTGCTGTGCTGTACTGAGGGGGATAAAATCCGAGTTTTCGGTCGGCGTAGTAGGTAAACTCGTAGAGTAGGTATATAGCACAAGCCAGCGGTATCAGACATATCATCTCTGGTGCGAGAGGTCTTGGGGGGCGACCTTGTCATCCCTGTTCACACCAGTTCAGTATTGTAGCCCTTACAGCCATAAAGTCGAGTTAGAGGTGAGGCTCCTCAATGTTTGCTTCCCGTAGCCAACAAAGAAATTGACTACAGTGGTGTGTACAGGGTTGACGGGGTCACCCTCTACTCGTAGCTTTATAGCGTTTCCGAACACAACCAATATTGCATGACATACAAAAAGGTGGATTTGGCGCTTTTTCGTATGTCATGCAATATTGGTCGTGTTCGGAAACGCTATCCCTTAGTCTGGCAATGCTGACCCCCCTATAATAGAGGAATTAAATTTGTATGGGAGATCTATTATTTGATAAGAGAGACAACAGGATCTGTTAGTAAAGCCACACAAAAGTTTGCTTTTTTTGGGGGGGTCAGCATTTTTTGCCAGACGAAGGGATAAAGCTATGAGTACTCCCTCTTGCGCCATACCTACCTACTTATTTAGGTATCCATGCCGCCGATCCTCCACACGGGTATGCAGTTGCTGATCCTGCATGCCCCACCAAACAAATTCTTGGGTCGAGGTACAGAGATGTCTCACCTGCACCAGCTCTACCAACTACCGAAGGGTGAAATCTTGGCTCCGTAGTAGAGTACGGCGATCTATGATTGCAGGACAACCCTGGTCCAGCTTTGTGTCAAGAGCCAATCGGTCGGATCACCTACCTCCATGTTCCCCGACCAGCGCAACCCTGCACCTACAGAGTCTGGTAGAATTATTGCGAAGGTGGGTTTTCCGTGACTCGATAGTCCTATTGGCCCTTAAAGGAATTTCTGCAGTGAGCACGGACCAAGAAGCCCACTCTTTTAGTTCTGACTTTCGCAATAATTCTACCAGACTCTGTACTCTATGTACTCGCGTCTAGGATAAAGAACCAGAACATGCAAATGCCTAGTTTGTATGGCAGCTCAGCGCGACTCCATACAAATAATCCCTGCTTTCTCACTTGCATGTTCTGGTTCTTTTTCCCTGACGCGAGTACCTAGCAGGTAACGTATGTATTGGCCCACGGTCCCTGGTAGCGTCATGGGCTGTCCTAATCATTCGTCTATCGGACCCAATGAGCCACCTTGTGGAACGTGTTGTGAATTATTGTGCCTTTCACTTTTGCACTTTGTTCACCCTTTTCCCATAGATTATTATGCATGCTTAAATCTATCCCGACAATTCTGCCATGTCCTCGTCTATTCTGCACTACTCTACGCGAGGCCGGCAGGTCTGATAGGCCGAGAGCAACGAGCTTGTCACATGCAGTTCGTGTTTTTTTTTTTCGCAGTACATATGTACGTGATGAAAAAAAAGTCGACATGCACTTGCAGAGAATTTCGTTGGGAAGGTCTGTGTCACAGTATTGTTTAATGCGTTCGCCTCGATTATTTCAGGGGGGGTTGGTGGAGGGTTGACTTGAGGTCACAGTATAGGGTTAGGGTTGATACGGCGGTCGCTGGTACCGACCGACTGTGTATGTACTCGTATTTCTCTGACGTTTGTGGATGCGACTGATATTGCATGCCATACAAAAATACGCCAAGCTCATGATTTTGGGTGTATGCAATAATGGCCCAGTTCAAAAACGTCAGAGAAATACTAGTACCTGGAGAATTACATTCATTTTCATGTTTTCAAGAGGGGACCGTTTTGTTGTAAATATGGACCTATGCACGCTATTAGTACAGTGGGTGCGTTTCTGAAATTTTGGGACCGTGTCCCCGCACCGCCCCTAAAGTGAGGATATTAATCTTCAAATATCACTCGCATGCCGCCCCGCCATAACCCGAGCTGCACCGCGGCCGTGGTCTTCCTAGAGTTATGTCTCCAATAGATTCCATGATTGCTACTACCATAACAACTGGTAATCACGACAACTACATGTACCCTAACGCAAGCTGATTTCCATCTCCATTTCCACTCGCACATCAGTGCTAGTGATAGGCACGAGACAAGACGAGACGAGACTGGGCCAGGTCTTGTCTTGTCTTGTATTTGTTCATTCTGGTCTCGAAGATTTCGAGGAAAGGGCCCAGTCTTGACAAGGTTTTGAAACTTTGTGGTTAGGTGATTTTGAATGTTAGAAAGAACATAAAAGGCCAGAAAAAAGCGAGTCGGAAGTCTATTGCCAAACCCTAACCCTGGTTTAGGGGTTTGCAATATCAAATATCAAATTGTGTGGTGGAAAAAAGTCAAAAGGGTCTCGAGACGAATCTCGAGACATCTATGAGTAGTCTTGTTCTATCTCATCTTGTTGTCCCCATGGTCCCGTCCTGTTTTGCCAAAGGTCTCGAGATAAATTGTCTCGTGCCTATCTCTAAACGTCATAGATTATCACTCGGACCTCCACTGCCCCCCTCGATTACCTCCCTAATCGTTCCACCCCACTCGCCTCGTGTCTACCGGTGCCACTCCTAGGTATCACTTTAGCTACTACCGCTGTTGAAGATTTCGGCAACAACGTTGATTAAACGGCACCCATAGCGGGGCATTATTCACCAAATATCACTCGCGCCAGGGCTTTGACCCCGCCGCGGCACCAAAGTACTAGATGTACCGATTCATATACAACGGAAGATATGAGCTTGATGCCCGACCGCCTCACGTACTGAACGACTAGTCTACCAGACCACCTTAGTAATACCAAATGCGCATGCAATCAATGAATTAAAGAAAGAAAAAAAAATACTAAATGCGCAAGTTCGACAGCGGCCATCACATCGCCGATTTGCCCGCGAGCCCGACCCCTGCCACGCCCATTGGAGTCCGCTTTCAATATAGCCCGCCTATCCTCGTGGCCGATGACACGGTAATCTCTCCCGCCTGTATCCCCGCCACGACTACAACCGCCACCACCGCCACCACCGCCGCCGGGCATTTCGGTAGTAGCCGCGGCTGCTCCGCAGTATGTAACACTACCGGCGGCGGCGAGCATTCCACAACCACCCCCTTACCTACCACTATTATCCTACACTCATCGCTACCGAAATATGCACATCACTGCCCGCTTACTATACCGCTGCACCCGCCCCCGCCGCGACATCCACCTATACCAGCTTCACCGGCTATGACTCGACCGCAGCCTCCGCGGCGACCGCCATGGCGATTATCCGAACAGTCACGCAATCTTAGACGGTATATACATCTTATCAGCCAAGAGCTAAGTAATAATATGCGTTTGGAACATAGCTCCCGTTTGGTCTTTTTCTGTGGGCGGTTTACAGATTTCAAGATGCCGGAAATATTTTTGAAGCGCTATAGCTAGGAACCGATATATACTCCAACAACAGTACAATGCACATTCACATGCAGTATTTACATGTCGGATTGCCTGTGTAAGATTATAGTGTTATCCTATGCTTAATGTGTAGTGGCCTTTTCGTCTCGTAGCCGCTTGCTCGCCAGCCCGGTACTGCTGCTAACGATATGTCCCGTCAGTCCCAGAATATCAACGCTGAGCTGTGTCCCAATATGCAATGTTGGGATCGTATGTACTGTGAAGTCCCAAGAAATTCAAGTCCACAAAAGCATGACCCCCATCAGAGTCTCCGCATCCATTAAGACAGGCCACCCCTAACGAGATGTTTTAACTATTGGTTCGATCGGCTTTGCTGTGCCCGCGACAGGCCTGAAGTGACCAAAAATTATGCAAGGTTTTGATGTATGTATTTTTTGGCTTCTGAGAGCGCGACGAGACTTTTGGCCACCAGTAACAGGAAATCCACTAAGAATTCATGCATTAGCTCCTTGGCATGCATAGCCTCACAATTACTCTGGGGGGGAAATCTTGGGCATTGGGATTGAATATATCTCTATGCGTATCCCTGAGTCTTGTAGTCGGAAATAGTATTGCCCTTTTGTTTGTGGCTAAAAGTCTCTATTATCTAGTTATCTGTACCCCGCCCACTATCAATGGCGGGACTCCAGTCTTTACACTCGTGAGTCGTTGCTCCCATGAATAAATCCTCTTCCTAGCGTTCAGAGTCTAGTTACTCTGATAGCTGGTAGGTAACCACACCGCCGGTACTTGCATGTCACTGTTCTGCTGGCTTCTATCAATAACTCTCAGCATGTAACCGGGCCTTGTGTGTACTCATACACCAGACAGTTGAAATGGCTCCGTTACAGTTGAACCATCGCCAGGCTTGTTGGTCTGAATTCCTTTTCAGGTTCAACTCCACGATCACATACCTACCTGGTAAACAAGGAGGAAAACAGGACGCACTCACTAGGGGCCAGGATACTTAGCCAAAGAGGGGGATAGACTCCTGACTCACCAAAGCCAATCAGTGTTGAAGTGCCACAATGTGGGAAGTTTAGGTTTAGTAGCTGTCACCCAGCCCTTCAGTCGACTGTCTCCCCTTGAAAGGTTGTTTGAATATGTGTACATCACTGATCCATTCCCGACTAAGATTTTAAGGCTTCTCCAAAACCATATCAAGCACTCAAGCAAGATTACACTTGCTGATTGTTCGATGCACAATGGCTTGCTAACATACCGTAGCCAGCTTTACATCTCCAATGACCTAATCCTACAATTGCATCTCCTCAAAGAATATGGCGATGCACCGTCCGCTGAGAATGAAGGCAGAGCCTAAACCTATTAACAAATATTGCGATCCTACGACTGGACAAAGGTGTAGAATACTGTCAAACGCTATCAAGCCTACTATATATGACCTTATGCCTTTTAATGCCTAGTAGGTGTCCCAAATATCACATTTCACCTCTTGATACCCAACCACCTTCCAAAACACCATATACTATGGCGAATATATGATATTCTGCCTAAGTCCTGGGGCTAAATCTCACTTCGCTAGCAAATAATGTCAGATTTGATATCTCGAGGATCTCCACTTGCTTATCTACCTGCCTCGCTTCCTACCTACTACCTTCCTGGCATCCAGCCTACTTTCCACTGGATACCTACCTCAATCCCTACCCCCTACCAGCATCGACAACTACCTGCTACCAGTATCGAGACCTCTCTCCTACCTGCAGAGACACCCACATACTACCTATATCGAAACCTACCTCCTACCTTCAAAGATGCCTACCTGCTACCAGCAGTGATGCTTACCTCCTACCTGCAGCGATGCCTGGATACGTATTTACCTACCTGTATTTTGACAACTGTACTGACAACATTATACACTGCTAAATATCATAAATCGACGCCCCAATCGACGCCAGATTGCATCAAATTCGCAGCAAATCAACACACAAATTGACGCCCAAACTGAAGCCCAAAATGACAGTGAAGTTTGACTAATTAGAGAAAGTATGTAGGAGAAGTAAAGAAATTGATCGTGTTAATTGTTCTAGCTAAGGGGGAATGCCCCGTATTTATACTAATGAAAGGTAGTACAAAAGAAATACAATGAGTCATGGACACGTGAGTAATAGAATGACTAATAAGAAAGTGAGTCATACGCCGATGACAAATACTACAATGAAATAATGAGAATCCTCCAATACTATGAAACGCGCCGAGCGCACTATTTCAAGACTTCCCCTCGTGAGCCACAGTGAATAGTAGAAGAAAATAAAACATGTTTGCCTTTATCCAATCCTTTTGTAAGTAAATCTGCTACGTTCTCGTTCGTAGAAATATATTCCAGTTCAAATAATTCATCCTCAAACCGTTCCCGAACAAAATGAAAATGTACGTCAATATGTTTAGACCTTTTATGAGAGATAGAATTTTTAACCAAAGAGAGAGAGCCGTTGTTGTCGCCTCGAAGAATAAAAGAGAGATTCGGTTTTCGTTCCAGCTCGTGGATTGCATTCCTTAACCAGATGAGTTGTCGATTGGTGTCCGAAAGGGCCATGTATTCCGCTTCAGTTGTAGAAGTGGCGACAGATCGTTGCTTATAAGAGCGCCAGGAGATGAGAGCTTCCCCTAACATGAAGCAGTGGCCAGTGAATGACCGGCGATCGTCGATGTCGGAGGCATAGCTTGCGTTGCTGTAGCCGATAAGTGCAGTTAGTCGCGTTTTGGCGTAAAAGAGTGATCAATCGTGAGTACCCTTGAGATAACAGAGGACGCGATAGACTGCAACTAGATGAGCCTTGGTGGAATAGGAGGAAAATTGCGAGAGCATGGTGACGGTGTAGGCGAGGTCGGATCTAGTGCCGATTACAGCGTACCTGAGTGAACCGATTATCGACTGATAAATTGTTGGATCGTCGATTTTCTCAGCTTCCGTTCCTTTTTGGAGGTGGACGTTGTTGTCGATAGGTGTTGCCACAGGTCTGGATTCGTTGAAATCGTATTTGATAAGTACACGCTGGAGGTAGGCTTCCTGTGATAGGATGATGCCAGTCTTAGTGTGGATCAGATGGATTCCGAGTGCCCAGTTGGCTGTGCCAGTTTCCGTCATTTTGAATTCAGAATAGAGGAGGAGACTGACGCGGTTTTTGCGTTCAGTAGACCAGTAGAAGATTAGGATATCGTCCGCATAGATTGCGATGACAAGTTCCCCTATTTTGTGTATGAAGACACAAGGGTCGAAGTCTGCTTTTCTGAATCCTATTTTGATTAGCGCTTTTGAAAGGCGGGCGTACCATTCCCTTGAGGATTGTTTGAGACCGTAGATGCATTTGATTAATTTGCATGCTTTGACAGGAGTGGAGTAGCCTGGAGGAGATTTCATGTAGATTTCTTCCTTAAGTTCGCCGTATAGAAATGCGCTTGTGACGTGCATCTGATCGCATTGGCCACCGGTTTGAAGGCAGCGAGCGAGGAGTAGTCTGATGGATTCATATCGGGTGACGGGGGCATGGGTTTGATCGAAATCTTGACCAGGGACCTGTGAGAAACCTTTTGCGACTAGTCGGGCTTTGTACCGTATGGGGTTGCCATCGGGCCCGAGTTTGATTTTGTATACCCATTTGCAGTCGACCAGTTTGCGGTGATGCGGTGTGTTGACCAGATTCCATGTGTTATTCCTTGCGAGTGAGTCGAGTTCAACTTTCATAGCATTTTGCCATTTTTCGGAGTTAGGACTGTTGATCACTTGGTGATAGTTTGTTGGTTCTGTTAGGGTAGTGTGATGCTGAATGTTGTGTCCGTATCTGACCGGAGGTTTCCGTTCCCGTGCTGGGTTACGTCTCGGTTGATCAGTATCTGTTTCATTATCATCATGCGGGGTACGTTCAGTGGCGGGCCTCGTATAGCCGGCCCCCACTATACTTGCGTGATCTTCCGAATCAGTGTCGGAGAAATGTTCCATGGTTTCGCGCATTATTTGTTGGTTGATCATGTCGTCGTCACTTGGGTCGTCGTCGTATGTTCTATGCTGTTTTGGTGTTGACGGACGTGAGGGTGGTTCTTGTTTGATCTCGATTTGTTTTGGTTTAGGGGGTGTGTCGGTTTTTGTTTTGACTTCGATTTCTTCCCCTACGGATGTACCTTTAAACCTAAAATGACGAGAGAGAACTACTTTCCTTTGTGATGGTATGTAGACGCGACAGATTTTTTCAGAATCTCCGTATCCGCAGAATTGTCCCGTTATAGCCCTAGCATCCAGTTTTGTTCCTGCTGGTCGTGCTTCGACGGGTATGTGTATGAACATGGTTTCACCGAAGGATCGGAGGTGCCCAATAAAGGGTTTCTTGCCGGTGAGTGCTTCGTATGGTGTCATATTCGGGAGTGATTTGTGCGGGAGTCGATTTTTGACGTGTACCATGGTGTTGATCGCTTCTGCCCATAGATTTTTTGGGAGGTTGTGGTCGAGCAAGGCGGATCGTGCCATTGTTGCTATAGTCCTGTTAAAGCGTTCTGCTGTTCCATTTGACTCGTGAGAGTAAGGTACAGTGAATTCATGCTTTATGCCTTTAGAGGCAAAGAATTGTTGGAGGTCATTGGAGATGTACTCGCCACCGTTGTCGCTTCGAAACCGTTTGACCGTTTTGTCTAATTGATTTTCCATGTATGCGATATATCGTTCCGTGGCAGCTGCTGCATCTGACTTCTTTTTAAGGAAGTAGAGGTGAGCGTACCTAGAGTAATCGTCGATGAAGGTGATATAGTAACTAAAACCGCCCAGAGAAGGAGTCGAGAACTTGCCGCTCAGATCTGAGTGTATTAGTTCCAGTGGTTGTTTGGATTGTGGTTCGGTGAGGGGAGCGAGGTGAGATTTGGTTGATTTAGCGAGTTCACATGTGTTGCATGTTTCCATGTGACCAGATGTGGGGAGAGACTTGGGGTCGGCGACCATGGTGCGAAGCCGTGAGAGCGAGGAAGCGGGGAGATGTCCAAGC